TGATAATAGTAGGAGCGTGAGTACTAAAAACACTGTACTCCGCAGAAACTCATACTAAAGTAAACATTAATAATAATATCAATATCATGACTGCAGGTATATATAAGTAAATTGTAAACTCCAGACACGAGGTCTGTACTGAACTGAACTGAACTGCCATGTGCACACTCTGATGGACAATTAAGGCTATTGCGCCTCCACCAGAACTCTGGATGGGCAATTAAGGCTACTGCGCCTCCACCCAAAGTGGATAACTCATATACATACCTTAAAACATGATAGAGCAATTATAACCAATGTAATACCCAGTCTGAGTCCCCACCTGAACTGCTGATTTGAAAATGTAAGTGCTGATCATCTGAATCCTGAAAAACTGAGAATAATATAAACAATTACTAAATACTATGCTCAGACTTATAAAATAACTGTTTAATATGTTAAGATGCTCTACTGGACTTAAACATAATATCTGGATTTAACCGGTACAATCGAAACTGAATAAACTCGAAACTGAACTGACATGAATTTCCTGAACTGGACTGGACTTGAAATTTAACTGAAAATGATACTGAAATCATGAACCGGGACTTAATATAATAAAATATGAAGGAATCGGTCTAAATTGCTTTGAACTGGTCTGGTCGGACCGCCGGTCTGCTCGGACCGGTCGGTCGGCGACTAACTCGGCCAACGAGCCTGCCAGTGCCGCGTGTACGAGCGCTGCCTGGATTGGCCGTGGCTCTGACTGCTGGGCGTGAATGGTGCATGTACTCGGGCTACTATGCACGCTGGCGGCCACTGGGCACGGCCTGCGTGACTAACGTGCATTGGTGCATCGTGCACACTACGCCGAGTACCAGCGTGCGTATTGCGTGCAGTGGACATGACTATCGGGTGCTGCTGCACACCACAACGTGCGGCTGAGTACTTAAACTCACACACGAGCGTTAACTGGGCATGACTGGCATTATGCGGGCGCTGCCGTGCATTCCCGCGATGCTGGCTACTCGAGCAGGTTGCTGCCGAGGTCACTAACGTGCGACGCTGCACGCTGGCGTGCGTTTCCGCACACTGGCGTGCCTGACTGGGCGTTGGCGTGCACAGGCGCACTGCCAAAGGCTACTCACACCGGGTACTGACTATACGCGGTACCCACCGCGCATCTACTGCACTACACGCACACTGCCGGTACGCTGTAACCGCGATTTGCGGACAGCTCAAGTACGACCGACCTCCGACGGCCGTCCGGCAACTTCCTCCGGCAACATCAACATGTTTCCACATATTTAAACATGACATGACTATACATACTGATTTAACTCAAAAATTATGAACTTTACTCGATGAATTTGAATAGGTGTCGAGGCGTGCGTACCGTACGCATTTGTTCAGCGTTAAGCCAAACCCTCGAGTAAACATAAACTTTTCTCGAACAACCTCAAGAAACTGATCATCATATAATATTTAAAGACTAATGAGACAAGGATTACTCGATCAATTCTGATCATATTGAAAGATAACACGAGGGGGCATACAACGGCCCGTGGGCGTGCACTACGTGTGTCGTCCACATCCATAGGCCAAAACTTGATTCTAACTTCAACTTGTCTCGACCTATCTTTTAAAACTGATCATATAATGACCTAAAATGATCAAATAAGCATGAATTACTTGGTGTTATTCGAATAAAATTAAACATCACTCGGTCATGACATATAAGTACGAAACCGAGTATACTTAAAGCATTTATCATGAATTCTGGTACATGGCTGAACCTCATGTCCTTAAACTGGTCTTACTATCATGAAAAGAGGTTAATGGAGATAATACCTCGTCAAGTGCTCGGAGAATTTCACAAGAACGGGCATGATTCTCCTTCCCGTGTGTGCATGCGTATGCGTTGCTTAATGCATAAGATTAGGACTAATTTGGACTAATTATTTGCTGAGCTTTGTAGCTTAAGTAATAAGCTACAAATCCACCCCAAATACTGTTATATATACACGGTAAAACTTGAAGGAATTGAAGGGAAATTCTCGGCCAAATGGAACGAAGCCACTTGCCGTGCGTCTAAGGGGCGAGAGTGGCACTTGGGGTGCTTAGTCACCCAAGAGTGGCACTTGGGGTGCTTAGTCACCCAACCTATTGCTTAGTCACAACCAAGACCCCTCTCATGTATCCATGTGTACAAGAATTGATGACAATGTACGTGAAGATTGGGAAGTCTTGAACTTTCGGCGATTAGTTCGGTTAAGCACGGCTTAGACGTGCTAAAGACGTACTTATGCGTACTAATGACCGTACTAAGCATGCTCAATGCTAAAGTGAACATGATTATCTTTAAACGTGATTAACCTTAAACTAGTCCTTATTAGTGTTAATTAATCGTCATTAACATTAAGCTAATTAGGATTACTTATCATAATTAGCTTAAACATGGATTAAGTTAATTAAGCAAAGGTTAATGACCATTACTTAATTAATGATGGACGGTGTACCAATGTGAACGCGTCGCTGTATAGGAACGATGACATTCATATATGGTAACCTTAACTGAATGTACTCATTTTCGGTTATAACTTGACCTCGGAACTTAATTCGAATATTATCTTGACTTAATCTCATTAATCTCAAACTCCTTACATGCAAAAACTCATTCGGTTACTGAAATAATTAAACCGAACATTAAGTCGACTAAAAGTCGAACTTAAAACTGGAATTCAATGACTGGCTCGAAACTTATCTTTGACGATTCATCGAATATTCTCAATTTCGATAATACGTCAATACTGGAATAATTAATCCCGACTCATTAATGTCTATTTATTAAAATAAACAGACTGAGATTAATTATCATCATTGACTCGGTTAATAAATAAAATTAACCGGATATACTTTCGACTTAACGTCGAACTTGGAACTTAACTAGCTGAAAAACTTAGACTTGAACATTAACATGAATATTTATTAACAAAGGCTAGCTTATAAAATTAAAAGCTAGTATTTTCCTTTATTAATAAAACTCGGGGTATAACACTATGTCTACGACATTATCTTTGGATCAACATCCAAGAAGCTGGTCAATCACTTTGTGAAACTTATGTCGTCTGAATTCGAGATGAGTCTCGTGGGTAAACTTTCGTACTTTCTTGGACTTCAGGTAAAGCAAGGTAAAGATGGTATTTTCTTGCATCGGAGTAAGTATGCAAAAAACCTTGTTAAAAAGTTTGGTCTTGAAAATGCTAAATGTCCTCAAACTCTCATGGGCACTCATGTAAAAGTGTCCAAAGATGATGAAGGTACATCTGTTGATCAAACTCTATACAGAAGTATGATTGGTAGTCTTTTATATCTCACTACTAGTAGATCTGACATTTGCTTTAGTGTTGGATTGTGTGTCAGGTATCAGGCTGCCCCCAAGGAATCACATATGAAAGCAGTCAAGCATATCATAAAGTACATTGGAGGTACAACAGAGTATGGTCTATTCTACTCTGCTGATACGAACTTACATCTTGCAGGTTATTGTGACGCTGACTGGGTTGGAAATCTTGATGATCGAAAAAGCACCACTGGTGGGTGTTTTTTCATAGGATCAAACTTGGTATCTTGGTTCTGCAAGAAACAAAACTGCATCTCCCTTTCTACTGCTGAAGCCGAGTACATTGTCGCTGGAAGCTGCTGCTCACAGTTGGTATGAATGAAACAAATTTTATCTGAGTATGGTATGAACGTTCATTCGGCTCAACTTTTCTGTGACAACACTAGTGCTATAAATATTTTGAAAAATCCTGTCCAACACTCTTGTACCAAGCATATTGACATTCGGTATCATTTTATTCGTAATTTGGTAGAAGATGGAATTATTGTGGTGGATCATGTACCTACAGATGATCAGCTTGCTGATATTTTTACTAAAGCTCTTGATTCGAAACGATTTTGGTCCTTGAGAAAATCCTTAGGAATGTGTGCTATATAATTTATGTTCATTGTGTCAGTTGCATTTCTATATATATGTATATATATATATATCGTGTCTATTGCATATAGGATCTCTAATGCTTTTTTAGGCATCTTAGTATGTAGGTTCATCCCTGTAATTCTTCTATGTTTGTTTATTGTTGAGTTTGTTGATTGGTGATCTATAAATTTTAACTGGTCAGTTTGTAAGAGCTCGTCAATGACCATTTTAATATGCTTGTAAGAGCTGCTCTCGTGAAAATAGGCATCGGGCAACTATCACATGAAGTGCTTCCTTGATCACGTGTAAAACAAGTTACGTGCTTAATAATAATCGAGGTGTGATAGCTACAGGTAAACATTCCAAGAATGAACATTCTCTGGTGAAAAAATAAGGTTGGCCATCCTGATATCTTCTCAGCTTGTTAAAAATTAAAACTTTTTGCGGGATGATTCATACCTCAAGTAATGGGCTTGACATTGGCGTATAGTTGATGTTAGTAAGTGAATTGGTGTGGAAGTTCAAAGAACAGAGTAAGATCATCATAAGTATTAGGGCTGAATTGCGAACGAAAATTTTGTTTTTTGTTAAGAGAAAGTGATGAACGAACTTATATTAAATCCGTGTTGTATAAAAGTGGGAGCAATAAGGGCTGAGTTATGCACGAAGATAATTTATTTTTCTCATCATCTTGATAGTGTCGAGCTCATCACAAATTGATTTGGGAAGATTTGTGGGTCAATCAATTAATGGATTTTTTCAAGATTGCATGAAAGGAGAACTCCAGTGTATTGTGTGTTAAATATCTTATTTAGGCATGTGCATCAGGATTTTCTTTGTGACATAAGTTGTTTAGTTTTTGTGCCTAAATTATTTTTGGTACTTGATTTGACCTCTTCTTCTTCTTCTTCTTCTTCTTATTCTTTGGAAAATCTATCACGTGTCCCGTCCGTAGAGAATATTCTCGTCTGAAACTTCATGCGGTATATATATGGTAACGCTGTTGCAAAACTTGGTAACAAATCCTTTTAGTTTTGGAGAGAACGGTTTTTTAGTTGCACTAAGTTTGGTCAAATTTTGAATTTCAAATTTGCCGAGCTGAACCATCTTCAAACCCACCTCGATAACTGAAATTTCAGTTCCCTATATCAATCATACCACCTTTTGCATCTCTCTCATATCTATTTCAATCTTTTATTTTTGTTATCTCTTCCAACTGCTCTAACATTCCTTCTTCAAGAGAATCTCTATTTCTCGACAATGCTAAAATCCAAGCAGGGCACCGTGAAGCCGAAGAAGAATGTTCCT